GGCAAGGTGGGCTCCCAATGGGCTAAGTGGGATAATCCAATTATTATTTTTTCTATCCAGTGAGATTCCACTAAAAAAATTTAAGTGGGATGGACTACCAGTGGCTTGGCTGTACACCGCTCGTGAGCAGCAGCCCGCCGTGCGCCACACGGCTCTACCAGTGCAAAGCGCCCGGGTGGCAGCGCCCGGATGGCCGCGTGCACGCGAGCACGTGGTACGCCGAGCTCACGCTCATAAAGGTCACCCCCACTCCCCACCTCGGCCGCAACTCACTTCCGCGTTCCCCTTCCTCTCGACTCGGTTCGAACCGGTTTGGGGCCCTCTTCGCATGGCCGCTCCCAAACCCTAACCCGCAGATCCTTTGCCCTCCCCTAAACCCTTCCCCCAATCCCCCTTCTCCTCCGCCCCGCGGTGCTCTCCGGTGCGGGCACCGCCCTCCGCTGCTCTGCCCGGCGGGACGCTCGGCGTCTCGACCCCCGCCTCAGCCGTCGCGCGTGAGGTACGCTTTGCTCATTTCTCTCCTCTCCTGGGTCAGCGTGCGCTCGGCGCGGTGCGCCTCCATGCTTAGCTTGTGGTGCGGTGGTTAGCTCGCGGTGTGGTGCTGGTGCTGTTCCGTGTTCGTGGCGCGGGCAATTTGCTGATTCGGCCAGGCCTCCGGAGTCGCCAACCCTAGAGGCTGGCCGTGCACTCGCTGCCGCCTCGCACGGGGAGGGTGTGGGGCCTGGATGGTGGGTTCGGACTTCGGAACGGTGTGGTTTTGTTCTTGTGTTTTTCCATGCGTGTTCGCCACCTGTAGCCATGAACCCCAGTTAGCTTCCCAATTCGAGAACATTATATTGCCTGGAAGAAGCAATGGCGTCGAAAAACACTCGATTGTGGCAATCTTTTGGGTGTTTGATTTGATGTTTTTTTCGATTTGATGGATTGCGTGGTAGAAGATGTGAGAGAGGGGTCGGAGTAATTCGCAGATATGCACTCTTGCCGTTATACTGCTGCGAGTATCAGCATGCTCTGATTTGACTTGGTCACTTGGATCGTCTTCTTTTCTTGTCTATGCATATTGCTTGTTCGTGCATGCATTACAAGTCCCTTCTATACATATCCTGATGGATATTTTCTTAGTACTGTGGGTTTTCATATCCGAAAACATGGTATTGGATTCATTCTGCTTCTTAAATGTGTGATGCAATGCTAACCTGATAGTTATTTCGGTTTTTTCTGGCGGAAATGATTAATTCATCTTCACTCCTAACGACTAGTAGCCTTTAATAGTTTGTTTCCTCTATTTTCTGCGGAGACTCTGAGCTAATAAATAGTCAATGCCATTCATTCAATGGTACTCCTGTCTCTTTTTATTAGCCGTTATCCCCTTCTGCACGGTAATTAACGCCATATAAAAACCTACCAACCCCTTGCTCGCTGAACCAATGTGCCATCACTAATTTCCTTAATAATTGGGTGATCACATCCTCTGCCAATAACTGAATCGCTAGCCTCACTGCACGCCTCTTGCATGCGGTTTGTGGCCCTCTGGGATCTGGCCCTTCAGCATGCAGGCTCCTCTAGCGCTCCTATGATTAGCGATTGGAAATTAGAACATTAGCGGTAAGTCACTTGGTACGTCAGGGGTAAAAAGGAAAGAAAACACCCACACTGAGTACCAGAGGCAAATCCTGTCAAACAATATGGGAAAGATTAGAAATTTTTTCATGCCTTACAAAATGAGATGGTGGAGTTCTGGTTAGTATTTTTGACTGACTTTAAGATTGTCAGCATTTCTGAGCTCCGTAAATCAGAATTCTCTTATGAGAGAGGTTAGACTTAAGGGAGACATTTGGCCCATCAGCCAATGGGAAGAGGATAAGGGGAGGAGGGAGAGAGTACGAGAGATGGGCTTTGGCCCAGGCTGTCTAAGGGTAGGTGAGAGTGATGAATGGGCCATGAAATATTTGTCACCATTCAAATTTTAAGAAAAAAAACAAATGATATTCAAATTCGGAAAATATTAAGCATTCAAATAAGCAAGGGAAAATACCAAATGAACTAATAATCCAGAAAGAAGATCAACGTTTCATATTGTAATAATTGAATCCTATATTTATGTTACAACTAGGTTAATTGTTGTTGTGGCAGGAAAAATGTTTAATGCTCGAACGAGAACTATCTCCTTATCTTTTTTTCCTAAAAGAAGAATTTATGAACTATGTTTGTGGCTTTATGCATGTTCTAAGTGGTTTTGCGTTGTGACAAATATTTTATTATGTTCCATATCCTGCACTATCTATAGTCGTATTCCTGTATCTGGGGTTTCCGTTTTTGTTTATGCATCATGTTAATCTATAAACAGAAACATCACCTGTCTTACATGGGAGATATAATAGTAGCTTAAAATTTACTGGACCAGGCAGTCGTTATGGTAATAGCCATGTGATGCGTATTCGTATCTGTGATTTTTATAAGAAATTAAGAATGGAACCCTTCCGTAGGATTCATTGTGTTCCTAAGAATGCATTATCTGTGAATGAAGCTCTAGTAAACTGTTTCTTCTCCCTTAGTCTTTCAGCTTGCACGTAGTTCCGAACTACCCGTTTTATTTTCTTATTTTCTTATTTTAGCTTGCTGTGGCTGTCATATCTCAAAGTTGATTATCTTTCCACTAGTGATTTGAATGCCTTTTACTGTATCTATTCCTAATTAACTAATGACTTCCGAAAATCTGTAATGTGTTTGTTATTAGGTGCATGTCTCAACTCGATCTGAAGGATATATGTAGTGGATGTTGAATGACATTCTCTATGGATTTGAACGCATCACCATTGCCTGAAGAAGAGGATGAGCAGCCTTATGAAGAACCACCTGGTGAGGCTGATTATGCGCATGAGGAGGAACATGTTGAGTCTGCTGTTGCAACATTGCGAAGGGTATGTAGTACTCATTCTGGTTATAGTTTTCCATTTGCTGTGAATTGCTCATTGTGTAAGTTATATTGAAAGATAAACTATGTCTTATTAGACATGTGTGCTAGGTTAACATTGTTAGCTGAAGAAAAGTACTGACAGAGAGATGGTTATCATTGATAATTTGGTATGTATGTGTACATTGCGGCTTTCAAGATAAAAATTGTAGATGTACTCTGCATCAGGATCATAATGAAATATCCATTTTTGTGGGGATTGTGTTTTTACAGCAAAGTTGGTTCATATGTGTAACTTCATTTTCCACTTAAATTTGCACCATGCAAAAACAATAACCGCCCCATTTTTGTTTTCTTACCAGAAAGCATGCAAACTGGTTTTATTTGGTGTTGCTAGCTCTATCATTTTTATGCAAATTCTGCTGTTGTTACTAGGAGCGTGAAGAGAGGCGGAGGAAATTGAAGAGAGAGCACCAGGATGAAGGCTCAATGCAACACCCTCAGCAGATAAGGAATGATTATGCACCTCCAACCAAAGTTGGTAGAGGCCGGATTAAAGAGGCACCTGAGGGTATGAATAAGTCAAATTGTTTTCTAACGAGCTCTTCTAATTGTTGATAATATAAAATATATATTTTATACCTTATATTCTCTCTTTCACTTCGGCAATTTCTATTTATGGTATTTTTTTAAATAAATGGATTTTTAGTATTTGTATTTTCATGGTTTGATTTCAGGTTGGTTGGATTGTCCTGCATTTGGTGAGCCAATAGATAAAATCATACCCTCCAAAGTTCCTCTTGATGAAACATTCAATGAATCAGTTCCTCCTGGCAAAAGATATTCTTCCAAACAAGTAGTAAACAAGCAAAGAAAAGCTGGCCGTGAAGTAAGTATTGTTTGGTTGATAATTTCTAGTGTTTACCATATGTGTTATGTCTGGGCATGTTGTACCTATTTATATGCAAAATGGGTTATTCACACAAAAAATGCCAATTTGAAGTGCTCTTACAACATGTTTAGTTTACTTAACTATCTCTTATTTGTATCAAGGGTGTATACTTGATACCATTGGCACCCCTTCCTTCCGTATGAATGTGTTCCTAGTTAGCCACTTGTTACCGATAGATAATTTTACTTCTGTATTAATTTTTCTTCTTCTTTTTTCAGATAGGACTGGTGATTGATCTGACTAATACTTCTCGATATTACTCACCAGCAGAGTGGACAAAGCAAGGTACTAAGCATCTCAAGGTGAGAGAGCTTAGCTTAAACACATCTTTTATTTTGAAGTACTCCTTCCTAAGCATTTCCATTTTTAGATTCCTTGCAAGGGAAGAGATGCTGTACCAGATAATGAATCTGTTAACACATTTGTCTATGAGGTAACAACAACAATATTTTTGATACAGATATTTACATTATCAGTATATATTATTCTGGATGGTGTGTATTTATTCAGTCTGATGCTTAATTCTTGATATCTTATTTGGCATCTCCTTTTCACCCCAATTGTTTCCCACTTTGTATCTTTCACATGATGCTTTAAACCAAGATGTAGTTATCAATGGCGCCTTAGCTTGAGTGACAAGCCACTTATTTGTGGATTGATCGATAATTATCATGGTGTGTGCTACGTGAACACATAGCAGTTTTTTCGTGTGCTAATTTACACCACGTTGCTCATTTGAGTATCTAGCCCTTTTTCATTTATCATATTTATTGATTTGTTTTTTCAGTTCATTGGTATGGTGCATAGTCCTTGCAAGCTCACCTTTTTTTTTTTGTAAAACAATATGCCGGGGCACGAGTTTGATGATATAAACATGCATATGGATCTTCACCTTTTTTTGTGGCTGTGGTGACTTTCTTCTTTTCTTATTAGACACTCTTCATTCCATGTGGTTAGTTTTTTCTACTGTAGAGTTAATTGATGTGCTTGTAGGTCATTAATTAACGACCATATATCTATATAAAAAGCTCATCAGAAGCTATTTATGCAATTATTTTGCTATTTTCAGGTGATGATGTATCTTGAACGACAAAAGCATACCAAAACTCCCAAGTATATTCTAGTTCACTGTACCCATGGTCATAATCGTACAGGTTTCATGATTATTCATTACCTCGTGCGTACACGCATCTCTTGTGTTGCTGAGGTAGGGCAACTAGACACTGAGTGTTTTTTCAATGTAGTTCTACTATTTGTCTTGACATCAATTTTCCCCCTAGGCAATACGTATTTTTGCTCAAAGGCGACCTCCTGGTATATATAAGAGGGACTACATTGAAGCATTGTATTCATTTTATCACGAGGTTCCTGAGAATATAATTGTAGCATGCCCTTCAACACCAGAATGGAAGAGGCCTTCCGATCTTGATCTAAATGGTGAAGCTAAGCCAGATGACGATGATGACAACGGTGATGTTTCACCAGTACATGTATGTATTTTCCCCTTTTATTTAGGTAAAATTATTCCAAGTAATTGTAGGCTGCTTCCTTGTACCCGTTGATCCTTTTTCAATTGTTGGAATACAAACTGCTATGTAATTTCTATTTCTTCGCACCTTCTACTTGAGTATTTGAATTTTACTTTTGAACATTACTGATGGAGTCAACCATATCATGGATCATGTTTGTTCATTTTCAAGCAACATTATTTGTCTGATAACTGATTTATTGTTTTGTTCTTGAGACATCCTCTTGTATCTTGCAGAATGATGTAGAGGAGAAAGTCATCACTAATGATGATGTGCTGGGAGACGCTGTACCTTTTGATCAGCAAGAGGCTCTGCGGATCGTATGCTATCGTTTGCTTGAACTTCCCCCTGTAAGTACACATTTTTTTATTCGTGCTCAACTAGCATTTTTGTGTGGATAACATCAAACACCTGTATTGCTATTTGTAGAATACTCTCCCCATCCCAGAATAGAAGGTGCACATGTTATGCAAATTTAACTTTAACCAACGATTATTCCAACCACACGTGGATTAATACATGATGCGAAGTTGACATCTAATTGCTGGGAAAATGCTCGCACCTTATATTTTGGGATGGAGGGGGAATAGCTCAAATGTTACGAATTTTCAAGTGAGCAGAGAGTACATGCATGCAGTATTGCTGTATGTCAAGTACTGCAGAGCTTGTGAAATCTAACGGGAAGTATTTATGCAAGTATTTGCTCATTTCACATGATGTGATGGTTGGACATGGTGTGCACCTACATATTAACTATTTTACTAAGCTGTGTGAAATAATATGCAAATAATGTGCCTTTCTGTCATCAAACTGGACTCCTGAAATGGGTTATGGCGTTTTCAATATGAACATTCAAAGTATATATATATATATAGAATCGCTAATCGTGCGCTCCGGCTAGTTGGGCGGACCGGACGTCCGCGCGCACTGGCACCAAATTAGCCAACCAACAAACCTCCCTCCGCTTGATCGTAAAAAGGATGAAAACCATAGTAACAGCAATAATTGATTACCTGGCTGCATAGACCACCACGCCCAGCCAAATTAGTTTTTTTTGCGGGTACCCAGCCAAATTAGCCACATCTCTTTTGGTTTAGACCCTCGTAACGGTTTGCAAAATATAGTAAAATGATTACAGCACTAGATTTGCCTTGCTAACTAGCCGGGTCAGTGACTTCCGTACGTGCCAATTGTTGTTAGCTTTGGGTATATGTTAATTTGATTACGGCATCGTCGTTACTAATAGTATTAAATTTTAGTTTTCCCCATTACTAGAAGTACAACGTGGCGTTACCATAGATTTATAATTGAGCCCAACTTGGCGTTACCATGAATTACTAGATCTACCACTTGTAGTTACCATACATGGAAAAGTGAACAGAACGTGGCTATATAAGATCCTCCATTCCAGAAAATAACTAAATTACTAGAACTACTACTTTGGATTACCACATTTCATTCCCTCATAAAGATGGACATGGTAAACAGGTTACCATCGGTTACCACCAAATTAGAAACAAATAGAAGTGTGACGGTTGTAACGTGGTTAGTGTGTTTTACTACATGTTACTCATGCTTTACCATCAAGTGGGAAGCAACTGCACCGAGCGTGCGCGCGTTGAGTTGTTTAGAGGAGCATCGAGCGCGTGTTCTGGCCGGAGCGCAGAATAAGGAATTTGTGCTCAGGCTTAGTTTATGCGCTATTGTGAGCGAGCGCGCATAACGTCTTAGCGTGCGCTCCGGTCTAATTAGGTGGGCAGGTCACACCGGGAGTAGGCTTCTCCACCGCTAAAATATTTGAGGGTAAAACTGTTTCTAAGAAAAAGTAATGGATTTAATTTGGTTACCATGCATCGTCTACGACGTGCCGATCCGAAGGTCATTAGTTTTTGGCAGTAATATAGATAGAAGAGATGGTAATGGACGAGAATTCTTTACCAAGCAATGAGATGGTTCAATCCCTCGGCCTCGTAAACCTAGTAAATTCATTCTAATATGTAGTAACCAATTACTACATGCTCACTAATTGTTAGCAGTAAAAGGGATGGAGTGGCGGAAAATGCCAACGGAGGCCGAGCTCCAGGGAGCTCGGTATTTTGAAAAAATCAAAATTTATATTTCAAAGCTTCAGAAAAATTCAAAACAAAATTCCACGGTAACTTAATAGATTTCCGCAGGAACGTGTATGAAAATTATTTGAATTTGTTGTGATTTGTAGGCTGTACAAAAAAAACAAAAATCCGGCCCAACAACAAAAAATATTGGCCCATTCTAGAAATACGTTTTTGTCTTTTTTCTGTACGCCACGTGTGAAAGTATTTGGTTTTGAATATTTGCACAGACGCAATACACATGTGTGAAAGTGTATACAAACAAGTTTAAATTTTTTCACCTTGTGGAAATTTGTATTTTGAAAACGAGCTCCGTGGAGCTCGGCCTCCAAAAGCCCTCACCCATGGAGTGGATGGTAATGAAACAAATTATTTTACCAGCAAAAGATGCTTCAATCCTGGAATGTAGTAAAATCAGGTTGCTATGTAGTAACGCATTACTGCATGTGCCTTTTCGTTGAAAAATACACACCCTTGCTTGGTTAACGCATTACTCCATTCTAAGTAATTGTTAGCAGTAAAAAGAATGGAGTGGATGGTAATGAAACAAATTGTTTTACCAACAAAGGAATTAGAGATGCTTCCATCATGACGCATGGTAACCGTATTACTGCTGTGTAGTAATGCTGGGATCAGTATGTAATAATTGTTTTTTCACGAAGGAAGGGGACTAGCAAGCGCGTGGACCAGTATTGGTCGTAAATCGTTACGATGGAATTTTCCCAACGCGTACTGGCCGGTTGGGTCGAACTGGACAGAGCGTACACTAAGAAATAATGCTATCATAGTGTGTTTTCTGTGTCTTTTACCTGTTCATAACTAATTATTTTATGCGATACTTCCATTTGACACTTCCATGTTGCAATCTTTGTAAATTATTTTGTTTCTGCAATTTTTATGTATGTTTAGCTTCAAAAGAAGTTTCTTTCTTATATCCTTTCTTTGGTTATAGGCGAGAGGGCATGCACAATTTCCAGGATCACACCCAGTCTCTCTTGACAGGTAACCAACTGCTAAACCCTACTGCATATATTGTTTATAATATTAAATAAATTATTCTACCATCTTTTTTTTCTCTCTTAAATTTCTCTTGTAAGGCATTATCATAAATTGCAAATCAGCACCTGTTGAGTAAATACACGCGTTCGTTTTGTGAAACTATGCACCCTACCTTTTTAAGAATCTCTGATACACGCATGCTGTCCTCATTCTGAAATTGGAGTACTTTCTTCTATGTATCAATTCATATAGTTTATCCCCCTTTTCATATATTAAAGAGTGATGATTCGTTTGCAGTTAAGTCAAATCTAGCTATAATTATACAGGAGTACTCCCTCTGTTCTCTTTTATAAGACGTTAGGCAATTCAGACAGAGCACAAAACAGTTCAATGTCAGCTGTCCAAAACGTCTTACAAAAAAGAACGGAGGGAGTACTAGTTAGGGTTGATGCATACCATCTTAGCTACCCAATCTGATCTGATGTCTCAAAAAAAAGTTGATATATCTGAAAATTATGTCGTAATTGTACAGTTAATCCCTTAATTACACCATACTAATTAAACTTTGCAACCTCTCTTTTGAAATTATGATGAGTCTCACCAAAAATCCATTCCTTATTCCTTAGTCATGACGCTATGACTACTGACCTTGTTTGCTGCTCCACATGAAATATTTGTCATAAAGTGTAATGGTTGCCATACCGTTTTATATCATTAAAACTGCACCAAGTTTCAAGAAATTAAAAAAAGGAGTTCTAAATCAGGAGGTGTTATATTTTTATGACTTGTATAGTTGACAAAAAGTGCATTGGGTGTGTATCTTTGCTAGTAATACTAAGGTTAGTGATTGGTTTTAACAGCTACCTTAAGGTGTTCATGAAGCAAGGCACTGTAAATGTTCGTGAAGCTTGTCCTAGTGTTAACATTAAAAGATGTTGGTTTGTTCTGATCCTACAAGCTAATACTTAGTGGGTGGTGGCAACAGCTAGCTTTAAGAAAACAATAGTTACTTAGATGGTAGGTGAACAGGCAAGGTTCTGCAAAATTCCATTGTTCTGAATGGACCATTATCTATTTTGGTTTATCTCCTTCTCCCTTATGTGGCCTTTTCTCTAATGCATTCTCTTTTGCTGATTGCAGTGATAATCTGCAGCTACTTAGACAGCGATACTATTATGCTACTTGGAAAGCTGACGGAACCCGATATATGATGCTTATAATGAGGGATGGTTGTTTCTTGATTGATCGGAATTTTTGCTTTAGAAGAGTTCAGATGCGCTTTCCCCATAGGAACCTGAATGAAGTAATGTCCTCCTCCTGATGCAGGAGAATCCATCGTAGTACATTTCTGTTTACATATCTAACCTTATTTCTCTGCCAATTGAAGGGTCCACATGATATGACATTGATTGACGGGGAAATGATTATAGATACAGTACCTGATTCAGGATTGAAGAGGAGGTACTTGGCGTATGATCTGATGGCACTTGATTCAGTGTCCAAGACAAAGGTATCTATTATAGTTTCCTTCCATGGAAGGAATATTGAGCACCCTTTGTTGATTTTATTACCTGGAAGTCAGCCTCTTCGTCTATTATTAATGCTTTACTTAGATAACTGCTGTGGTCCATCCTCTGTCATTTTGAGCGACTACAAAATTTCTTGTTGCTGCACATGTTTATGGAAATAGTAATCACACTATTCCTTTGTGTTACAACTTGCCATCATATTTTATTGATGTATACTTTGTCAAAGTAAATATCGAAGTTTGTATTTTCTATGTCTATCATATCATCTTACCAATATGAGTACTTTTGTGATAGGTTTTGTTACAGTTAGACCTTATCGGTGCAATTAGTTCTTGGCCTTAGTATAGTTTTAATTTCATAGTATTTTTGTATGCAGTTGCCTTTCTCTGAGAGGTGGAGATTAATTGAAGATGAAATAATCCGGCCACGTCATAACGAGAGAAAAATGTTTGAGAGTGGTGCTAAGAGCAATCCAATGTACAAATATGATATGGAGCTATTTTCGGTAATTGGATTCGGACCTGCTACATTTTAATGTTCCATTTTGATGAGTTGAAGTACATTTCTTATGTTTGGGTGCTCTACCAGGCCCGGAGAAAGGATTTCTGGCTTCTGCATACAGCAAAAAGGGTACTGAAGGAGTTTATCCCATCACTTTGCCATGATGCTGATGGCCTGATATTTCAGGTATGTTTGTCTTCTTTTGGTGACTGTACTGGAAACTTGAAAGCTGAAATTCCAGTGCAAGTTGATGCAATGCATAGATGCTTAAGGAAGAAAACAAGCTATGATGGTGAACTACACGATTATATTTGTTTTGATATAACCTCATGAAACTACATTTGTAACATAATCTTGGATTTTCTACTACAAGCAGAAGAGAAAAACTACATTTGAAACTACACTATTTAGTCTCCCTGATTTTTGGAAACTACCACGACTTCTAAGTATTTGAACTGTAGTCTATTACTTAAATTTTAATCTCCCATTTTATTTTCCGCATTGCAACTTAACATTATTTGGTTGTGGCACTGCCTGAATTTACATGTCAGTTTGAGTTGCAAGCATGAAGTGGATCCTGGTTATATACATAGAAGTCATGTGGCCTTCTTGAGAACAATATAGACTCGTAGCATTATGATGCAAACCTGTCTATTGAGCTGTTTATTTCAGTTTGCAGCTGACTATATTAATCATCAGGAACACAAATAGTCTTGTGAGATACTTGAAGGCAGAAAATGTGCTAATCAATCTACAGAGTGCTTTGTGGTAGCAATATGAATTAATTTCAGCAGTTGAGCTGTTGTGTGCAAATTTCTTCTGTTTGTTTCCATTGGCCATTTAGTTCACCTTGCACCAAGAGTTCATGTTTTCGGTGTTACTCTTGTTACGCTTCTGCCCAAGATATGCTATTCTTCCAAAAAGTTCCCTAGAGATGTTTCCTGTTTTGTGCTTAGTCTGCCATGATGTGTGCTAGCACCACTGGGTAGCCACCGTGTTTAGTGTCTCTTTGTGCTTGAGAGCAGTATGAGATCATGCATTGACTTACAAGAAGATCTTAAGTGAGGGAGTGGAGGAAGAGGGACAGATGGAGAGGCAGGGGAAGATAGCTTCAGGAAGACCTTAGATGAGAGAGAGAGATGGAGAGGGAGGGGAAGAGGAAGAGGGCCAGAGCTTTCTTCCTTGGAGCCCATTGTCGCTTTCTCCTGTGGGTCCGTTGCTGTAGTACACACGCTCTTCACATGCTCGAGTAGTCCCTTTTAGCAATAATTTATCCACGTGATGAACAAACAACACCGGCCTTTTTAGGGGAATGCATGTTGACTATCTGTATTTATTGATACAGTTATAGACTTGAATATTTGTAATGACGCTCCTACTTATGTGTGTTCTTGAGCTTCCTCTGACCGTACATGAATAATGTGTCTATACTTCTATCATTGGCGATTCTTATCATGGTTAGGAGTAGTTTATTTCGGGCTTCAAGAAGTGCAATCTGTTTGTCTTGGCTAACACACCTTTATTTGTGCTTGTTCATTAGGGCTGGGATGATCCTTATGTAACTCGCACCCATGAAGGTCTTCTTAAGTGGAAATACCCTGAAATGAATTCAGTTGACTTTTTGTTTGAGGTTTGTGTGGCCATTGTTTCCAGTATTGTTGCTTTAAATGGTTTAGTGTTTTTTTTATATGGTGGGGTTTATTTTGTCATACCTAATTGTGCAGGTTGGCAATGATAATCGCCAGCTCGTTTTTCTTTACGAGAGAGGCAAAAAGAAACTCATGGATGGTTCTCGGATGGTATTTCCAAGTAAGTAGTGCTGCAATTTTTATGGTCATTTTATTTTTGCACGCTTGACAGCGTGTTTCTCATAAACAAGTTTGTATATTTTCTCTTGCAATGAAAGCATGTCTCTCATAGACAAGTTTGTATATTTTCTCATGCAATTGTGAATATGATAACTTATTTATCTTATTAGGACATCATTGTAGTCTTATTCACTTCGTGTAAGTTCCAAATACAAAACATATATCCAAGACTTACATCTGCTTTTTTGGAATGACTGACTAGCTTAAACATGACCAGGTTTATGCATCTATACTATACCTTCGTCTACCAGAACACTTTATTTGCACATTGATGGGTTTGGAGCCAATTTGTAGGGAGCCTGCAATCTCTAATATTTTTTTCCCACGAATTTAAAAATTGCCGAGGATATTATCCTTCAGCTATGTATACCACTACATCTATAGTTGAATGACCTGCAGACTTAAATCATTGTATTCTAGGAGCATATTTGCTCTTCTTGCTTACTGTTATGCTGGAATTTGAGTAGTTTCCCCTATTCATGGTCTAGCTGATGAGGCATATTGGTTGCATATTTATGCTTGTTTTCTGAAACTTATGCAGATGGAGAAGATCCATCATCTATCTCTGGGAGGATTGTTGAGTGCTCTTGGAATAAGGAACAACAGTGTTGGGTCTGCATACGCGTTAGATTCGATAAATCGACTCCTAATGATATCAACACATATCGCAAGGTTGACTCTACCCCTTATCTGTGTTGGAATTTACTCCCTCCTTTCCTAAATATGAGACATCTTAGAGATTCCAATACGGACTACAAACAGAGCAAAATCAGTGAATCTACACTCTAAAATATTTTTATATACATCCGTATGTAGTCCGTATTGAAATCTCCAAAATGGCTTATATTTAGAAACGGAGGGAGTACATACTGTGCATCTGGATATAATCATGGTTCTTTCAATACAAAAAGATATATCTTTTTCATTTGAAATCATTGATGTGTGCTAAAATTACAATATTTATTTATACATAGAGGCTAAATAGAATCTGGCCCCTGAAAAAAATTGTTATTTTTGTGCCTGCAATAGATGCACTTTCAGATTTATCTCCTCAGCTTTGTTAGCTTTATTGTGATTTAATTTTTTTAATTAGGCAAAATTTCATTTCCTCTTTTGTTTGCTATAACTGTTACCTTTTTCCATGAAAAAGAAATCATCACCTTGCTAGATTTTGAATTACTGTAATCCTCTGACAGTATCGTTGTGTTATCTGCAGGTAATGAGGAGCATCACAGACAATATAACCGAAGACAAGCTTCTAGAAGAGATCACTGAGATAATTTCCCTCCCGATGTATGCTGATAGGAAGAAGGCTGATGAAAGGATGGCCCATGCAAAGATGGCACAACATCGGCGGAGAGGGCAGATGCCACCACAGTAGTGTTAGCCTTGTTGGAATAGTGCTAGAGCGCCGCTGCCCCTTCTCTCTGGGCTGGGCATCGGCTGGTTCCATTAGCTTGTGTAATTAGTAGAGGTTTAGGGCCGTATGTTGATGGCCGGCCAGCCAACTAATTCTTTGCACTTGTTGTGTGCCTACCGCTTGTATATAGTTGTCGCAGCAGAGTAGTCCTGTAAATCTTGTATCATGTTTCTGTATTCTCACCTATGGCTTAGTTTCATGGGTGTAGAATAGTTAGTCTTTTAACAAGGGAGGGAGAGTGTTCAAGTCTCGTCTTGTATTGCCGGAAGTGTCCTAATCGCGAGGGTGCACTGAGCTCGGGAGTGCCTCTTATTATCCTACACCAAGTGTCGCATGTGGCATCTCTCCATCCATTTATTCCATTCCCGTTACATTTCTAGGTGGATGCCGGTCTTATTTGCAGGTGCTTGTTTTATGTGGCTGTCTTGTATTGTATTCAAACCGTCCTCTATATCTGTTTATAGTGTCGTTTGGCAGGTGGTTTCCAAAATTAGTCGTTGGGATAGTTGTTCTTGGTAAGCCTTTTGTTTTCAGCGTTGGTCGTCTTGTTTGCTTCGAGCTCCCTGGTTTTAAACCAAGTTCACAACAAAAGGCACCCCAGAAGTGTGGGTAAAGACTCACCTCGCGGCCACATTCTCTGGCAATGTGGCCCAGGCACAAGTTTATCTACGCCAGGCGGAATGGAGGTGCACAGTTGGAATAGGCTGAATTGAAATGAAATGGGTAAAGAATATAGCCAAAAAGTCAAGTACCCCAGAAGATGTTCCAAATGAAGAAATGGAAAACTTGAAAATGATCCTTCTGATTCGTGAAGATCGAGGAACCGAGAAAGATTTCTGACACAAGGGTGGCGAACTAGAGCGAAAATGTTGCATGCTTCAGACACCAGGCAAGATGCATTTGGAGAAATGTTGCAAATGAACATGTCAAGAACACCTTTATCTCAATGTACTTTTCACATGCTGAAATTCCATATGTTACGGGCCCGATACCTTTGATTCAAAGTTCAAACTTCCAAATTTTCATAGACTGCATAACGAGAAACAGAGTAAGTGTTTATGCTCCAGTAGTTGTGCACTAAATAATCACAATGCTGAGCGAAACATGAATTCTTTCATATAAACAGCATACGAAAATTGGAGCAACTTCAACTAGAAGGTAAAGACCACTACTGCACGTAAATTTTCAGTATTCCCACCTCTGTTCTTCAGATAGCGACTGCTCGTCTTCCATCTCAAACCGAGTTTTGGTTCATTGCTAGAAAATACATTAAATTTCACTAGCAAAAGATGCATCTTTTTATATATATTTTTGGATAACAAACACTCATCCTCGTAATACATCTCGTACGCAACTTTATTTTTCTCTCACTTCGAAAGATCTTATTGTCGGGAGTACAACATGAGCATCCTATCATCAATTGTGTGAGAAGGATGTTCCACTGCATTCATGCCAACCTATGCTCACTGGAGAGAGCATCACTTGGCACACTCGATGAAACCTTTGATGTCGAAACTTCCATTAGGATCAGACTTTGTGATTACACCCTGTGAATCAAGGGGAAACACGCACAAGAAGTTTACCAACTAATAATGCAGCACAGACCAACACCAAAAGAGCATAAGAAAAATGGAACATGTAAGTAGTGTGGTGATATAGAACATACCTTTTCTGTAATGATTGCAGTAATTAGACTTGCTGGAGTAACGTCGAAGGCGGGGTTCCAGACTTGTATACCTGACGCGGCAACTTGCTTTCCTAGACCACCTTCAGAGTTCAACAATTCCTTTGAAGATCTTTCTTCTATGACGATTTGCTTCCCAGACGGAAGGGAGAGATCAATCGAAGTTACTGGTGCGGCCACGTAAAACTGCACGCCGTGATGCTTTGCAGAAATTGAGAGGTTGTATGTGCCAATCTTGTTGGCAGTGTCACCTTTAAATTCGATACCCAAAAATACAGTCAGCAATAGGCATATTTGGTGTTCAGTTGATTTAAGAATTATTCTTGTGGGTGGTTACCATTTGCAGCTATACGATCAGCACCCACAATTACAGCTTGAACTTGTCCATTATTCATAAGTGCAGCTGCAGCAGAGTCTGCTATCAGCGTCGCAGGTATTTTGTCATGAACTAACTCGAAAGCTGTAAGCCTGGAACCCTGGAGATTACAAACAAATTGTTGAGAGCTTTGTATGTCTGTGAACACACTGCAAATCTATCCTTCGAATAAGTGGTAAAGAATAGGTAACAAACAGTTCTTATCTAAGATTATATTTGACCTGAAATGATTGAGCAAGATGGACGGCCTAGATAGTTGGTGAAATTATTCGAAGGATGATTCACTGAACTATTTTTTCTGTGGTATAGCACATAGGATCGTGGTATGTCAAAGACGTTAATATGCTATGAAAGAATATGGGGTGTGGCTAATTCTACTTAATATGTCTTGTACAAAATATAACAAGATAAATTATTCATAAATTACTATGACATCAAATGTGTAATGAATTTCTACCTGGTTAAATGGACGAGTTTCAGTGCAGAAGGCCTTTTCCAAAACTCCTCCAGAGTGAAGAGCACGAATGACCCCTAGGGCAGTTCCGTAACCAGCGGTTGCTAGGCTAGATTAAAAAAGAAAAATACTATAACTGGATGAGGATATTGAGCATCAGAAATACAAGAAAAAATTGATGACTTTACCTGCCAGTATTACAATGGGTTAGAACAGAGATGTTTCTCGAACTTCCAAGCTGCCGTTGAAGGAATTCAGCTCCATGCGAGCCAATTGCCTTATTATCGGCCACATCATCAACTAGCATAGCCTCTGCAGCTTCAATAAAGACCTGGATATAGAAAAGATAATTAAGCAGGTGCACCAACAATTTCATCAATCAGAGAGATAATCAAATTTCACAAATATATACCATTTGAAAATTTATGAGGGCGTAAAATCTGGTAAGGCAACATGGGAAAATGTTTTTTAGAAGGGACAATAGTTTTTCAAATGAACAAGAGGGAAAACCAGGGTTTTTCAACTCGTCATCACCTCATAACATCTAATGGTCATTATTTATGGAATTATGCTATTCATCAGTTTAATCAGTAATCCATTATGCAAGTATTCAAGACAGTTGCGCACAGAAGGCAGTCATTGCTGGTTTCTTGCTGGTCACCTATTGAAACCAGCCTGCAGTAGTCTGAGACACTTGTGCAAAAATGGTGGGCCAAACTACCCTGCTAAAAACCAACCAAAAGCCACAACCAATTAGTCACATCAAGAGCTAAGAATTCACCATTTTTTCAAGGAACTGGACAAAGTAGTGAATATGCAAGCAAGGGCATCACGATTCAGCCTGACAGAGTTTGCATACAAATGCTACCAATTGGTAATGTTCTGATAGTAGGCTCGATGCTAGAAGTTTGGGAATTTAGCCTCATGCGACCTACTATCATCAGGTTTGTTAGTTTCCTGTTTAGTTTCAAAAGAAACATAAAGTTTCATGATATATTAACTCTATGGTCCTGGCAATTAAGCGCATACACACTGGTCACGATGAGTGAGTTTGTTCAGGTATTGAAGAACTACTAGTGAGCAGGATGATGGATCGAAACTATAAATCCGCTTGGCACCTGAAAGATAGATTTGGCATCTTTTGCTGTTTCAGCTGTTCTTGACACTAAGTTCTGAAGCTTTGTAGCAGCATCAGACAGGTTCACTGCTGTGGGCCGGCTGACAAAGAAATTGAAGTAAATCATTGATTAGAATAATATGCATGGGCAGAAGTAGAAATTCATTTCAATGTAAAACATGAATATCAGGAACAAAGTTATCGCGCATAAGACCCTGAAGTTCAAACACGCAACAGTTAAATAATTTTTACCTGGATACAAGGTATTCCAACTTCTTGGAAACGAATAAGGCTGCTTCCACAGGTGTACCAGTGAAATCGTGATCATTAACTTCCACAGCCAATGATAGTGCTGCCGCTATGGCTATGGCAGGAGCACCACGGACAACCATGTCTCTGATCGCATTCCTGAATAGTGTTAACAAGTTGAATGCTCAGTGCGGACATAGGCACAAATATAATTTTGCTATGTGAGCATACAACAAACTTATTATAATTTTTGTATTTAGTATTTACTCTCTTTTACTATTATTATATTTACATATTCTGTTCTATCATTTCATCAGTGTCAAGTTCAAATAGTTACGTCTTTAAAGATAATAAACTGAGCCTAACAATATCTTGAGTTTAACAATATCCTTCAGCAGGCACAGGATTTCGAGGTACTTGGAAGTTTCAAAAAGAATTATTCAACTTATCAAAATATTTATATGGAATTTACAGGTTCAAATTGTAATTCCCCAAAGCCTTTCGAGTTGTCAGCAACTATTTCAGTAACAAACGGATTTAATTACCGGATTTGTGCTCTAGACCAAGTCTCACTTTGTCAGTTCTGGTTTTGCAATAATTTTTTCTACTGTCAGCAAATTCCTTGTCTGGCTTTTTCGTTTCACTTGATCTTCCTGGCCCGTTTCAAGCAAGCCGGACCACATACCTGTCCATCTCCCGAGCCCAATAAGGGACACCCTTCTCCCACTTGTATGCAGGCCCGAAAAGTCAGCAGAGCCCTAACGCAGAAGCAGCATTATTGACGCCGCCGCCGCCAGGTTTCGCCTCCTATATCTTTTTTTTTTTTGCAGGCATATCTTCTTTATTTAATCCAGAGTGCCGAATCAATTCCCCATGACCCCCCGCACTCAATCCCAACAGCGCACATGGTAAAACCTTGAACGCAAAGGCAGTCACCACGGTGCCTTCTTTTGGCAAATCAAACTAGGTAATATTAAACCCTGAATAGACCTGTGTCCTCCGCTGACAACATCCATCCTCATACATATACTACTAGTACTAAAGAAATACTACTACTAACTTAGAGGTTTAAGAAGAAAGT